ACAAAATATTTAGAAAAATGTCCATGTTGGTCATTAACGCTCAAGAAATTGTTCACATGCACATAATCATGGTGTCTATTAGGAAACTACAATCAAATCAATTGTAATAATATTTTAGATGGAGTGTGTTCTAGGTTCTAGGAAAGAGCGGTCCTTTTAACTCCTGCAACTTATACGCCTTATGAGGGAGCTTCTAGATTATGCGATATGGACCCTCCTAGTTGGGTTGTAGTTTTCCATATTGTGCGTATAGAACCACTTGCTTTAATACCAGGTCGCCTTATTGCATCTTTATTGGCTTGACTTTGGAGTTATATCTTCTGGTGGCTCTATGCTTGGCTGCAAAATCTCGAACATGGACGACTTCTCTCAATTTGTCGATCAGGTCCACCGCACATCCATTTCAGCCTTGCTTGCTTCTTCATTAAACCGAGATCACCACCATGAGGGTGTATCAATCTCCATGGACAGCATGACGTCTGCTCCTTATACCATGGCGAATAAAGTTTCCTTGGTGGTGGAGTATAGGATGGTGTGGTATGACCATAATATCTCATGGAGCGATTCTGCCCATAAAACCTTGGCATCATCAAGCTTCTTCTTGAATCCTTTCATAATGACTTTGTTTGTTGATTCTTCCTGCCCATTGGCTTACGGGTGTACAAAAGATACAAACTTTGTATGCATACCCAAATTTTTGCAAAAGTCAGTGACCATACCACTGGAAAACTAGGTCCCATTGTCGGAGATGATAGCTCTGAGAAGTCCATACTTGCATATAATTGTATACCAATAGAAATGACGAACTATCTCAACTGTGATTTTAGCAACAACTTCCGCCTCTATCCATTTGGTGAAATAATCAACTTCTACTATCAATAATTTCAGTTGGCCTAGAATCATGGAGAATGGACCCAGGATGTCCATACCCCAATGGTAAAAAGGCCAAGCGAAGTCATCGATTGAAGAAGTTTAGTTGGGGCGTGGTGAAGGTCAGCATGTCTCTAGCACTGGTCGCACTTCTTGACAAAGGCGATGCTATCCTTCATAAAAGTAGGCCAATGATATATTTCCCTTAATAGCTTATGGGTGAGGGTTTTTCTGCCAATGTCAATGATGCATACTCTTTTATGTACTTTTGCTAGCACCGGGGTGATTTCATGCTCGCGTAGGCACCATAGCATGGGCAAAGCCTTCCCCGTTTTGAAAAGTTATCTAGAAAGGATGGAGTACTTGGTAACCTATTTTTTAATTCTCCTTCCTTCCCCCTAATTTAGTGAAATATTGTTAGTTTGTAGGTAATGCAGTATAGGCGACATCCAGCTAGACTCGGGGATAGCTTCTAGGGAGTATACCTTTCTCGACTCGATGTTGGGGGAGGCACGAGTCTCATAGATAACCGTTCTATTAAACCATGTTGTCTTCAATGTGGCAAGCTTAGGAAGAAGGAATGTTCTAAAGCTCTGTTCACATGGAACATGTTCTATTTCAAAAGAAGTAAAACGAGAGGATATACTTTGTACCTTTTGCAGATATTTTATCAGTTAGGGTTCTTTTTCCTGGTACTTCCAGGAGACTTGGTTGGAGACTAATTACGAGTTTCTTTTGGCCTTCAGTTTAGAGGCTCACATCTCTATGGCGTGAATCATGTCGACAATAAGGGCCTCGTACTCCTCCTACTTTTTGTTGGCGGGGAACTCAAACTTTAATGCTTGCTCGATGAGTATGTCGATAGGCCCTTCCAAGACTATCTCAATGCCTATTTCTTTCACATTGGAGGAACCATCTACAAATAACACTCACTCTGGGTGCGCCTCCCCATCTACAGGCGGGTTAAATTCTTTCACAAAATATTCAAGAGCTTGTAATTTGATGCTTCCTCTCTGGATATATTGGATTTCATATTCCGAGAGTTCCATCATCCAAGATACCATCCCTCATGTCAAATGTGGCTTCTTCAAGACTTGGCAAACAAAATAGTTGGTTTTCACAAAGATCTTGTGACTCTGAAAGTAAGGTCTCAGCCTCCTCGCTGGGACAGCGACGACTAGCGCTAGCTTCTCAATCTTATGATAACGTACTTTGGCGCCTCTAAACACCTTGCTGACGAAATACATAGGTCTTTTTGCCTTGTTTGTCTCCTAGAGAAGGACTGATAACATCTCTCAATCTGTGACCGAGAGATAGAGGCGTAGTGGCGAATCCTCCCTCGGGTGAGTGAGAATTAAGGTTGATGTGATGAAGTGCTTTACCTTAGAGAAAACATCTTCTCACTCAGCGGTCCATCTGAACCTATCTTTCTACTTCAAGACGAAAAAGAAAAGGAAAGCCTTGTCTCCTATACACGAGAGGAAGCGAGATATGGAGGCAAGACGACTTGTAAGCTGGAACACTTCCTTAACATTGGTGGGGCTTCTCATGGTGATGACTGGCTGGAATTTATCCAAATTGTCCTTAATGCATATTCTCGTCAGCATGAACCCTAGGAATCTCCCATCCTGAACCACGAAAAAGCACTTGGCTTTTTTTTTGGACTCATGCATATGTCGTATTTACTAACTGACTATAGAACATCCTCTAAATCTTCTTCATGGTTGCCCGCTTCAATAGTTTTCACTATCATGTTGTCGACGTAGACCTCTAGGTTTTGCCTTATTTGATGGGTGAATGTTGCATCCATGAGTCGCTGGTTGGTGGCGCCAGAGTTCTTAAGACCGAAAAGCATGACATTGTAGTAGTAGTTGGCATGAAGGCTATTTTGAGAGCATCTAGGGGGTCCATTTGAATTTGGTTATACCCCGAGTATGCATCGATGAAGATCAACATGTGGTAACCTGAGGATCCATCAATAAGGATATCGATGTCTGGTAGTGGATATGGGTCCTTAGGATAGGCAGCATTCAGATCAGTGAAGTCTACACATATATACCATCTGTTGTTAGCTTTTCGTACTAGAACCGTGTTGGCTAGCCAGGTATGGTATTTTGTTGTCTGATGAACCTGGCGTTGGGTAGTTTCCATACCTCTTCATCAATGGCAGCCATCTTCTCCTCGCAAACTTTCCACTTCTTCTATTCCACCGGCTTGCCCGCGACAGTGAGAAGCTATGTATGGTGGTGTTTATGATGGTTTAAAGGACTTGCTCATATGAGGTGAGAGGCTCTGTGATATACTTGGTGCTTAGGTATAAGTGTATGAATTAGGAATTGTCCCCTCCTCCTATGGGGGGGGAGGTATTTATATAGGCTTTGGGACTAGGATTTCCTTGAAAAAGGTTACCACCCACTCAATCAATGGTGGACCATTGAATCCCTATTTCTAAGGGGATCGTGGTTCAGTTGCTGACACAGACTTCTCTCTGCTCCAGAAACGTCTTATCTCATGTTTTCTATGATTGGGCGATAAGGAAGCATTGGGGGCGAGGAAGTATCTCCCCAAGGGAGGCATATGATCGTCGCCATTCCTAGGGACGGCTTATGGTCATCGCCCTAGTCAGGTCAATATAACACTAAATAACATAATAACAACTTCGTCAAATCATGGATAATTTTTAATACTACATGGGGCAAGTCGATAATGTATTTGGTTAAGATTCCTATTCAACAATAAAACAAACTTGTGGTTTTCTTTTAAAACAATAAATACAACAACTGTATATCAAGATAATATTGTATACATCGTTCAATTGAAAGATGATTATATTAAAGGAGACCAAACAAAATGCATTTCTTCAAAATTCTTTTTCACTGATAATTTTTAGAAGAGTGGTGTTATAAACATCCAATAAATTTGTTGAAGATCTTTTCACAAAGTCACTCCCTAGTAAAACTTTTAATCAACTAGTACAAAAGATTGATTTTTACCGTCGAAAAAATGATCATTCAATTGATGGAGAAATAAATTTATTTTAAAAAGATATTATACTCTTTTTCCTTCATTAAATTTTTTTTCTGCCAGGATTTTTCTTATAAGATTTTAACAAGTCATATTCTCAACGAACATGAATGTTAATGCATTTATCCTTTTGTCATTGGATAAAACTTAGATACAATTTTTTAGGTGTAGTTATTACTATTTTCTAATAAAAATATGACAAGTGTATAATTTCCTCTTCCACATGTGCAATTTTCTCCTATTTTCACTCCTTAAATTATATTTAAATATATTTATCATATTTTCATTAGAAAAAAAATAAAAACCACACATAAAAAATTGTATATAAATTTTCTTCTTTGTCTGCAGATGAATTTCACCGACACACCTCATGTATATATTAATTCTACCATCTGATTTGTAAGTCTTATAAATAGAAAATATATCATTGTATAATGTAATACTTGTGAATATAAAGATTTGGATTTCTCTATTTTTAAACTTTTACTTCTTTTACTTTAGTTTATTATAAAACTATTATTAGTTATTGCAATTATAGTATTCTTTTGTTTTTGTTTTAGCCTCTTTAAATTTCATTGTTTGAATGAATTCAATCTTTGCAAATTCAAAAGTTATAACTTTTTTAATTTACAAACAAAAAAAAAACATCATAATGGACTAAATAGTATTAAATTATTTATTTATTTGTTAAAACGAATAAGCTATCGTAGTTTCATATCATACTTGCCACAGATTTTAAAGATTTGGCCATTTGTTAAGCACATTTCCGGATATTATTAGCAAGTACTTCTATCATTGCTAATTATAAGACCCTTGTTTAATTTTTATCTTTCTTTAATGAGACTCTACAAATTTTTAGATATATGTTTGAAACATCCTTTGAAAGCATGATCAGAATATTGTATAATAAATTATGCTAATATGCTTGATACAATTTATTCAACTAATCTTTTAAAATCTTGAAAAAAAATAATTAATTTTTTAATACAACATAGACATGCCTATGGTATACAAAACACGGCATAATACAGATGGTATGGACAATTTAATACCTAAACAAAATACATATACTTCTGTTCTCATTGAAAAGCTTTGAATGCGGCTCTTCATGCATAATAATCCTTGGAAGAATCTTTCCCCAGTGCAATTTCCAATTCTGAAGCACTGATTGGCCAGAAAAATCCAGTAACCAAATCGTGTTTTTAAAACAGAATTGAGAAAGATCTCACACGGTTTCTTCCTACAATTGAGTTTGTATGGCGTACTCCGTATCATGCGCTTTTTCTTTCATGAAAGGAAGGTTGCTGGGAATTTCCTCCTCCAAAAGATGTAAAGGTGTTTGAGGAGGGTATTTGTTCAAAATGAAGTCTATTTCCTCACCACTCATTTCCTTCTGATTGAGAAGAACCTACAATGCAAATTTATATATGAAAAGAAGCGCAGCAAAGAATGTTAGTTGAATTATTTTCAGTTTGCTTGCAGAGATTATACTAGTGAAGTTACTGAAATATGTTTGAATCAACTCATAAAGTGCTTTTGTTACTTATGGTTAAGATCTCATTTATGAAGTATTTTAACAATTCACGTACAACATAACTCAGATCTCGCTCTAAATTTACCTTAATAGTTTTAAGCAAAGCTGCATGGTGCCCTCTTAGGAGAGAGACAGTCTTTCGGTACATGTCACGTATCAACTCTTCAGATCTTTGTGCAACTTGAGCATCAAGATTAAAATTTAGGGGAGGGTCAATCAGGTCGTAATGATTATAAAGAGACCCTTCAAAATCCAGCCTTGGTCCAACAAATTTAACTGGCTTCCTCCAAGGGGGTGCTTCTCCGTGTATGACCATTGGATCCTCCAAATTCCAACTGCAAGTAGAAAGGGAGAAAGGAGCTTATATGACAGAAGAAACTAAGCACAAAAGTAACTACAAAAATTTCAAGTGGTTATGCTAACATGGTTAGTATTTTGCGAGCAAGCCAGGACGCGTGTGCAAGGTATTCAACGGAGGCTTTTGATGTGTCGCGTCCATAGATGACTTCCTCAGCAGCTCTACCTCCAAGCAGAACCTGTATATCAAGACAGATTCAAACTGAAATAAATAACTTTAGGAGGGGAAATTAGGAGGCAAGTCATATACTCGAGTAATTTACATGCCTGAAGACGATGCAACAATTGAGGCCGGCGTTCAAACATATACAATTCATCATCCAGCCGTTGGAATACCAATTGAGATAATGTCTGCCATATGGTATCTTTTTCCGTTAGAAAATAATAACAAATAGCCTTATGTATATAGAAATCAAACAACCTTAATAATATTTCAGATTGGCTCCTAGCGGACTTTTCTTCCTATTCATTACTAAAACTTTCAATTGCCATATATTTCCAATATAATTTCCAATTCTACAGTATAACCTGCATTCCTGGTCTTTTCTCTCCTTTCTAATTCACATACTTGGATTATCATACTATTTCATTCAAGATTCTCCAATGTTACAGTAGTGAAACTGTGTATCAGTATCAGATGTCCTTTATTAATTTGCCATATAGGTATTCCCAATTTCTCAATCATGAGTACAGGAAAGATTGACAAAAAAGCATCTAGGAGATAGTTGATAATAGCATATAGTGAAGGAAGCTGAACAAGGACCTGACCACGAGGTACTATTGAGATGCGCTCGCAGTATTCGACTTTTGCATTCTCATATCGCTGGAGAAGATGAGAAGTTATTGCAACTCCCACTTCAGTAGTTGCTCTACGACACTGTCCTTGATAACCTAATTCTATTCCAAGACATTTAGGTCCTACAGTAAGTCTGTCAACTGCTTCATCCATATCTGACCGAAGAATTGAGCTATGTCGCTTTCTGACAGCCACAAGAGCTGCTTCTTGGATCAATTGTGCTAATCTTGCTCCAGACCATCCTGGAATTAATAAATTTGTTCAGAGATTGAAGTGAAAATTTCAAAGTTAAGACAAAGAGTCTGTACCAGGTAGGTTCTGAGCATAGCCGAACAAATCAACAGAATCCGACAGTTTTACTTTGGTAGCGTGAATTTTCAAAATATCAAGTCTTCCTTTTGCACTTGGAGGGAGAATTTTGATCTACAGGAAGAAAAAACTAAGTGATCAATGATCATTAACAGTGTATTATCATTGAAACAGTTACACATGACTCAATAATCAAGTAACTTATGATAGGACAGGTAAGTTTAACGTTAGCATTTAATAGAAAAACAAAAGAAGATTCCCTTTCCATTTGTGATTATCTTAATACATCAAAATAATTTATCCAGAAAGGAATAAGTAACTCAGCCACAAAAAAAAAAAAAACCTTTCTATCAAGGCGACCTGGTCGAAGAAGTGCAGGATCTAACAAATCCCTACGATTGGTGGCAGCTAGAAATATGATGCCCTTTCCAGTATCAAAACCATCAAGCTCAATCAACAATTGATTCAATGTAGTTTCTCTTTCCTGGGTTGCTGCGTTATACTGGTTGTCTGTTGACTCCTTGAAAGTACCTTGTCGCCTGATCACACACAGTTCACAATCAGATGGGGAGACTGCTTAGGGGGCTTAGCAAGTAATTTCACAGCAGGTGTAAAATATGCAACATCTCTAGCTTGGCAATCGTTTTGATAATTTTATTTCCCATAATGAACTTTCATAATTCAAGAACTGAAGCAAAACAATCAACTACCATGAACTAAAGTAAAAAGTAAAAAAAACTACTTTTACTAAAGACGTCCAACGCCACATTGCATCTCCTTACTCACTCGTCACTTCATTTCGCTTAAGGTTGAGTAGTGTAGGTGTTAAAATTTCATTATTTCAACTAAACATGTGAACATGCCTGGACAGACAAACACGCATGCTGTTCATACTATAAATCATACAGTCATACCTAGTAGCCAATGCATCAATTTCATCTATAAATACAACTGATGGTTTGTTTACCTGCAAAGAGAAACAGATAAATATTTGAGTACCAGCCAATCACTACCATACAAACCTGAAACTTAACAATGTACACCAGTTTCAAAAAATCAAACAGAAAAACACTTTATACTCAGCCATATCACATGTTGAGCACCACCTGTCATTATAACACAAACCATCCACCCATTTTTAGCAACAAGTGAAGCAGAGGTAATGAACATACCAACAAGAAAAGAGAGGAAGAAGCAAACTTAATGAATATCATTCTTAATATCAGCTATCCTTCTAGAGAGTGAGGAACTCAACGATTATTATTATATTGATCAAACAAATAACAATGCATTGAGGAATGAACAGTTGAAAATTACCATATGAATAAGAGGTCATTGAAAATGTTCAATATATTTGATATTTGATTAAAAAAAGCAAAAAAGATGGACATATATTGTTTTTTTAAGTGATCAATACCCTTAAATGGTTACCTAACCATTCACGAGAACAAAAAGACTGACCAGAACAATCAGTAGCATGCAATGCTTTATAAGTTAACTGTAGATTGCATGGAGAAACAAGAAAGACATGATTAAAGAATGTGACCACATTAGCACAATAGCACTTAAGCACCAATACATTGCTTAAAAAAAGAATAATGCTAGGAACACCCACTTTACCACTCTCTCCAGCACTCACTCTTTTATTGAGTGAAATCATGTGGGTCCCACAACTTTATGAGGGCCCCATGTTTAAAATGGTGGGAGCCACGTGATTTTTCACACAATAAGAGAGTGAGTGTTGGAAAAAAAAAGAGTAATCCTAGTACTCCAGTTAGAAAAACCCAAAAAAGGAATTAGCAGAATCACCTTGGCTCTTTTAAACAAATCCCTAATACGCGCAGAACCAACACCAACTAAAAATTCCACAAATTCTGATCCAGCCATTTGGTAAAATGGAACACCAGCTTCTCCAGCTATAGCCTTGGCTACCAAAGTCTGCAAAAGAATGACAAAACTTAAGACACATTGACTACACAAATTCTTACATCCAACCTAATTTGGGAATAGCTATCTAACCTTGCCACATCCAGGTGGGCCCTCCAGAAGAACACCGTGTGGGGGTTTAATCCCCATTTTATCAAATAGCTCAGGATTTTTTAGGTACCTCACCAACTAAAGAGAACAACAATACATAACCTTCATAAGTTTTCATCCATTAGAATAAACAGTAAGAAGATAGTACCAAATCGAGGCATTAAAGGAAAAAGGGTGGGAAAATCAGGGAAATAACTACCGAGGAGAGGGGGGCAAAGTCGTATTATTCAAAATGATTAAATAAAATAGCTAAAATGTTAATATATGTTATGGCTTCTTCAATGTTTTCTTTATACATTGCTTGTGTATTTAAGTGTTATATAATGTTCATAATTGTGCACAGCCACACATTAAGTTGAAACTTTCATATTTGTAAGCTGTTGAACCAGACAGGAAAGCAAAATGAGTAGTGTTCTGGGTCTAGTAGAGTTGAAGAAATCAATGGGCTAGGACAATACGGGCAATTGTCTGCAGCCCAAGCTTCTGTTATGAATGAACTAGGGAGGGAAGGGGAAGTTAAATAGTGGATGGTGAACCCCAAGTTGAAATGAGAATGAGACATAGCAAAGCAATATATAAAGAGAAAAGGGGACATGCCACATCACTGTAAACTAGTTTTACAGTGACGTCCAATGACAATTCAAAATTGTGATTATTTTAAAATTGCGATTACAAATAGGGCTTACGTGGCAATATCGTGAGTCCTCATTGGTTGTCAGTGTAAAATTATTTTACACCAACAATGCATCTCCATTAAACTCATACATTTATTTAAAAGATTTTTTAAATTGGGGAAACCAGCACCCCCGAATCTCTCTCCTCCCATTTTATCTATGGGTAGTGGAAAGTATTTTGACAGCAGAAGAGACTAACATGTAGCATTGGTCAAACAACAACTTTCAAGAATACTTAAAAAAATAAAAAGAGAACAATATGCTATCATCAAAAGTGTTCTAATTTTTTTGAAATACTTTAACTGAAACTGAAACATATTTGTACCCTACAAAAGATCAAGTTCAATAGGTCAAGACTTTACTCTACAGCCTTGTATAAAAGAAATACCTCTTGAAGTTCATCTACAGCATCATCAATTCCAGCCACGTCAGAAAACTTCACTCCAGTTGAACCCTGAAAGAATATTATTCCAAAGCCAGCAACTAAGAATGACATTAAAAGACGGACTAGAAAAATAAAAATAAAAAGATTTTATGAATGGAGAAATTAATGTAAAGATAGGCGTTAACACACATCAACACGAGCTTCAGCTTTTGACAATGAGAAGTTCATTCCCTGCCATAGATCCTGTATATTGAAGAAATATCTCTTAGTGTACTTATCAGCCAAATCTACTGAACAAAATTGGCTCAGAAATTCATGCATAACTTTGAGTCAATCACTTAGTCACATCACCTACCCACTTCCTGAAGTTTTTGGGTTTTCTTGAAAGAGTGAAGCGAACAAGAAGGACCATACCCACTACTATAGGCAGGGTTATTCTCATGATCTGGACACTGGAAGATAAACCGCCAAAAGTGAAAATCTCATACATCTTAGACACAAAGCCACCGTCCATGAAAAAGTCAAAAACTCTATCCCAAACCCTATCCATCATTGTAACAGCAACTCCAAGAAAAACCTTGAGAAATGGTTTGGCTATAGGCCACGCAACATAGACAGTTACAGCAAATATAAAACTGGTAACAGCAAATACTGCTGCTGAAAGGAAGCCACCCACTAGCATTGCTGCTAAACCCACTACTACTGTCACGGCTCCAAGCTCGGCCACCACTCTGCTAGATATGAAAGATGCAACTGGATGAGGGTACTCTGACATTGTTCCCACCCAAGACTGCAACAATATAATTTCAGAGTTACAAGAAGAATTATTATATGATCATCCAAAAAAGGATTTCATCCTCACTACACTGAATAACTTAAGCTCCGAGTTTCTAACTACAAACTATGCAAGAAAATATATAGTAACTTGAGGTTTATTTGGTTTGAAAATGTATACTCTTAACCACTGAGGGTAAGAATAATTGCAAAATTTGCAAAATCGCGGGATTTTACAACTCAAATTGGAACTTTAACTACCATGGAAAAATGCTTTCTGTTTTCACTTTTAATTACAAAACTATAACCTTTTTTCAGTCTGTTTCCTATTTTCAACCATATGTACATGAGACAAAAAAAAAAGCATCAAAACAAGTAGCAAGCTTTGTAATTAAAAGTGAAAATATGAAACAAAAACAGAAAACACTTTCATAAGCTAGACATAACCTTGGAACAAGAAAATGAAACTTTAAACGGCAAAGCTAATTAACTTTCCTCTATTAGCACCAACAATGTCAATGCATCGTATATTAAATCATTTCAAGTATGTTAAAAATAACTAGATCAACAACCGTAATACGTCGACTCTCTATCTCATTTCGTGGTCCAGAATATTCCTCCAAAACCGCTTGAGCTTCACTTGTATCCGCCCTGAGAACCCTACAACATTTCACACACAATCTATCACAAACACCACAATGCACACCGAACAAGGTGTATAAAACCATATATAAACATTTGTTTTTTATCTTTTACCATTTGGTCACTTGCAATCTTTTATCACCAGGAATCTCTTTCAATTCCACAATGTAATCCTTATACCCAATTCCATAATCTTCCTTTGAAGTTACCACCTTGATTTTATCCTTACTCAACGCTTTAGTAAAATCCTCAACACTCATTTTGGGTAAAGTTTTCAAATTCTCATTGAACTCTTCCTCTTCAGACAACGGCGTACCGAAAATCTGCTCCGGCACATAGAGTTTCCCTTTATACTCCTTGAGCAATTCATTCAAATACACAGAATCTTTCTCTCCAACCTCATCAGTCTCACTCTGGGAACTCTTCAACCTCTTCAACAACGCATCAAAAATACCCTCATTTGATTTTTTACCCAAATTCTCTTTTTGTTGTGAAGTATATAGCTTGTTACCGATTAGATACTTGGGTGGGACTTGGCTTGGATTTTCCTCTAATACACGCTTCACGAAATCATCGGGGATGGGTGCGGGAGAGGATTTGCAGAGAAATGTGAATGGTCTCCGAGGAAGAAGTTGCCGTGTTGTGGTGCGATTGGAATGAAGTGTTCGGTGGGTGTGAATGTGATAGGAATTGTTGTTGGGGTAGCAGAGAGTGTTCATGTTGTTACTGCGAATTCATGAGAGGGTGAATTGACATGTGGTGCTGAAAGGGTTTATGGAGTTAGGGTTTTGAGAAAGATGAAGAACGCAAGTGGGAGAAGATGAAGAAGAATGGAAGAAGAAATTGCAAAATTGTATAATCTGTAACTGGTTTCATTTTCCCACCCAATCCGATAAACCTCATCTCGCGTGGTTTTGATAACCGGGTCGGGTAGATGGGGTACCCTGGTTCTGTAATCCATTTTGTGTGAAGAGAGAAAGAACAATAAATAAATAAAGGATTATGTGAAAATTCGAAATTGTTCATTAGCTTTTAGTTACGTTTCAGTCAAATGTTAAAACTGAGTCACACTTAAGATATTTTTTAAAATTTATTTCGAAGATACATCTTTGAAACAACTCAATATACACACCATGTATTTCTCACTGAAACGTCCTTTTTTTAAATAAATATATCCAGAAATGTATCTTCTTTTTTATGAAAACACCTCATGCATTAAGAAGGCGGCACTAACACCGACTGAAAACATGAAGGACCAGAATCTAAATTAGGAATACAATCAGGCCAGATTTTGTTACCATGGGATCTGCCCACACTCACCACATAGTGAGCATCAACATTACAACTTCTACCTATATATGAAACAGTGACATTCTTAAAATTATCTAACAAGTATTTGCAATCAGCCACAATAGGTTCTAAATCAACAATAACAAAAAAACCACAAATACAATCAACAACGTTGAGTGCATCAGATTGAAGAATTACGTTATCCAGATGAAGAGAAAGAATCAACGAAAGCGCCCACTTATTGGCCAAAGCCTCGACCACACTTGGGGAAACCTGCTCTCTTTCTCTCTCTCTTACAAGCAGACAAAGAAACAGCAGCAGCCTCATCCCTAATCACATAACTCATTGCGACAAAATCATCCTCAAAACAACCAGCATCCACATGGACCAGTGTCATTCCAATTCCGAAAACATGCATCTACCGATCCATCGTCTCTTTCCGCTTTACAAGGGCCTCTGGATTGGCCCTATTAAAGTCCCTAACCACTTCTGCCACCTCAAAAGCAACACGAGCAGGATCAGAAACCTTGTTATTAAAGACACAATTGTTTTGCGCGGTCCAAATTTTCCAAATGGCATAGCATTGTAGTTGAAATGTCTGAATATCTTTACCACTCACAATGTCAGCCAGCCAATTAAAAATTTCCAAGTGATGCGTAAGCCTAAATCCCAGAGGGGGGGAGAAGTATACCCTATGAGAAAACTCGCACTCAAGGAAGAGATGATAAGCATCTCCAGTCTCAGAATTACAAAGAGGGCGGGATGGGACAAGAGAGATACCTTTCTTCTGCAAATATCGCCTTGTGGTAAGGATATTCTTAGAGAGAGACCACACAAAGTTACACATGTTTGCCGTGATCGGCACCCTCCAAAGATTCTTCCAGAAATCACCATAACACGCACCTGAGGGACCAGCCAACTGCTTCCTTCTATCGCATCCAATAAAATGATACACACTTCTAACTGAATAATCCTCATCAGCCTCAAAGTTCCAAATACGCCTATCCTCGATAATTCTTCTTGATAACGAAATGCTGACAACCTTCGCAACATCTTGAGGATCCAGAGTTTCACTTAAAGCACGCATATCCCAGCAACCCAGATCATGATCAATTAAAGAGGACGCCATTTTATCAGCCTCCATATTCCCACCTCGAATCAAAGGTTTAAAACCTAGGCCAGAAGGAATCAAGTTATCCTCCCAAACTCTAACCTTAGAGTTGTAACGCCCCGTTTTATTTAATATTAATTATATTAACATTTTCGAGTTACCGTTTGACGTTTATTTTTGCGACAAGAATATTTATATTAACCGATATATCTGTTAATATATTCGGCGACATTTTATTCGGACCGATAATTATTTTATTCGGTCCGGTATTTGTTTTGAGGGACCGATAATTATTTTGTTCGGTCCAGTTTTTATTTCGTTCGATTCAGTAAAATATTGTTCGGACTGATATTTAATTTTTCGGAGTTATTTTAATTATTTGGGGTAATAATAATATTTAGTATTATTTAGCATTATTGAGGAGTATATTTTACAAGAAGGGCTAGTTGGTAATTTGACTTGTGTCTTGCTACTAAACAAACTAAATCCACCATTTCCTTTGTTTTATGTCATAACACTAAAACACACTTTGAGAGAGTTAGAGAGAGCTAGAGGTCTTGGAAGAGAAGAAGAGGAACAAGAACAAAGCTTGGGTTTTGGGTTGGTTGGAACATCAAGAATCATTTCAAACATCCAAGGTAAGGAGTTTGATTTTTCAATGCTTATAGTTAGGGTTTGATTTGGTATACTTTGAATTTGGGGAAAAATTGATGTTAGGGTTCTTGAGTTTGTTGAGATAAATTAGATGAATTAATTTAGGTGTTGTTGTTGTTGGTTTGTTATTGAATTAGTTAAGAAGAATTAAATTAGGAAGGAAAATTGAATTATATTAAGTTTATAAGATAAATTGTCAGTATGCTAAGTTAATAAAATGGAATTATGCAGTATGTAAATGAAAATATGATATGCAGGTTTTTTTTGGATATATGTATTAAAAATAGAAATTTTGGAATTCAATTAAAATGAACATATGCCATGGTGGGAGAACGTCCCTCTTTCCTTCTTCGATGTTGGGACGAACGTCCCATGTGCAAGTGGGAGAAGAAAATCCATTTTGCTGTTTTTTTTTTGTTTGTTCTGTATCAGTATGTTTAGCAGGTTCAGGTTTTTATAAAATAGTTCATGTTTCTAATTTAGTTTCCATAATTCTTATATTAAATAATTATATTAATTAAATACAAATATGACATAAGTTAGCCGATTTAATTTGAAACCCGATTGTGTTTCAATTTCCCGATTTCGGCAATTTCAGCGACGGAGCAAGTTGCTCCGAATTTAAAGAAAATTGACGTGCTAGCTAATTTTGACGTGTAGAACGTCGTGGTGAGGTTAGTTTTTCGAGATTTTGAGTTTTTACGAAGCGACCCGAAATAAGTCAATTTACGGTTAAGTTGAACTGAGTTGCGTTTTAGTCGGTTTAAGTCGCGTATGGACAATCTGATTGCGATGTTGACGATTATGATTGATGCTAATTATTGTGAATGACTTTGGCGACGATTATTGATGTTTAAATATTTTTTTATGTTTGGAATTAAGTGAATCAGTTGATAATGATGTGGTGTGATTAAACATGATGTTTGCGACGTTTTGTTTATAATGAGTACTTGATGATATGCGATGCGGTGATATGTTTATCTTGATGTGGATAAATATGGTAACGTAGGCTTTATGCCAAATTTTTATGTGCGATGATGATGTTATTTGTTGTGTCGTGTTTGTGATATCGTGTTGTCGAGTCACATACATTGCATTGGCGACGAGGGCTTTTATGCCAAGCGATGAGGGCTTTTATGCCGAAGCGACGATGGGCTTTATGCCAAATGTCCCTAATTATGGACAAAGCGACGGGTACCACATGCATAACATAGTCGTGTCTCATGGAGTCAGTTATATTTATTTTTGAGTCTTTTGGTGTTGAGTTTTATTTGATGTTTTATGATGAATTGCGATGATACATGATACTTTGTTTTGTGATGATTTTTGGTGTTGAACATTAAGTGATTATGATGTGATAATTTCATGAAAATTGTGCGATGAATATAACATGACGATAAAGCGAAGATATGAGTTTATGGCGATGAAGTTTATGTTTGTTTTGATATGATGATGATGATTACGTGACGAAATTAAAGTGTTGATTTTATACACTAAATGATGATTTAAAGTATGTGAGATTTTGATATATGTTGACATACTCTTATTATCCTATATCATTTATGATTCCAAAACTATTTATATATTTTATCATGCCTTTAATTATATGTTTTGGAGTATCTCACCCTTTACTTGTTTCGCCGTTACCTTTATATTGGTAACATGTAGGTGATCCGCGAGGATGATGAGGTTTAGCTCGAGTCTCTTTATTTTGAGTCGCTCTGCTCTGATAGTAGTAACACTCGGGATTTGGGCGACGTTATTATTTTGGATAGGATAGTTTATGTATACTATCTTATGATGTTATAACTTTATGTATTGATGATAACATAATGATACGTACATTTTGTGAACACATCTGTTGAACTGTGAATATTCATATGTTGATATATGATGATTTATGATATGAATCGGTATATCCGACTTTTGATTTTTGTGATGTGCATTATAATGCAAAGTGATGAAAACACAAATATGTGATACCTCAATTTATGTTTGGATGAAATTTTGAAACTCTGGTTTTATTATTATTTGCGAGGGGTAGAATTGGGGTGTTACATTAGTGGTATCAGAGCTGGTCGGTCTGTCTGGCCAAGTTGTTGAGTTTGTTGTTGTCTAACAATCAAGTATTGTTATTTGTTGATTCTAATCCTTGTTTTGTTGTGAGCAGAAGTTGTTATGGCTGGAAGGAACGCTGGTAGGAATGATGAGGCTCTTGCTGCTGCTATGCAGGCAATGGCTCAGGCTTTCCAAAACCCGCTGAATGCTGACGAGAACGCTGGATCTCGTAGTTTGGCAACCTTCCAAAGAGATAATCCTCCTACTTTCCAAGGAAAGTATGATCCTGAAGGTGCTTTGGCGTGGTTGAAGGAGATTGAAAGAATCTTCTGTGTGATGGATTGCACTCCTGTGCAAAGGATCCATTATGGTACTCATAAATTAAATGCTGAAGCGGATGACTGGTGGGTTGAAACCCGTCAGAGGCTTGAGGTTGCTGGTGAGGAAGTGACGTGGGAAGTTTTCCGAAGGGAATTCATGAGGAAGTATTACCCGGAAGATGTTCGGGGAAAGAGGGAGATAGAGTTCCTTGAATTAAAGCAAGGAAGCATGTCTATCACTGATTATGATACAAGGTTCACTAAGTTGTCCAAGTTCTATCCGTAT